CGTCAAATTCCTGCAGAGAGTAAAGTAAGTTCTGAAGATTCAGCTGAATGGGATGAACAAAATCCAGCCAATCAATACCTAAGTCCTGCCAGTCATCAAAAACCTTGCTGAGACAATAAGCAACTGATCTCAAGACAAGGAAGCTCCTTAACATGCATGGAGGGTTTAGCCCCAAATCCAGCACCCTAACGCTACATTATCATTAGAAACCATAGCCATGAAAAGAATAAAAATATGTTAACGTATCAGCATTTCACATTACTGTCTTGATGCATGTTCAATCATTCATGTAAGAAAATCCCAGCAAGTTTATTCTGTTCATCTGGATGTAGCGTTTGCAGTGATAGAAACACTTTGTCACTCATCCAAGTGACTTTTTCAGACTCTGAATACAGAATTTTAACCAGTCGTAAAAACAGTACCTTTGTATAATGACTGGAACTAGCACCACTGAATGAACAATGGGCTGTGAGGTCAGGTTCATGATCGTTACAGTTTTTCTTGATTGCTTTGACCTGGATAAAGAAACTGGGATCATCATCACTATCTCAGCAAGCAGAAGACACCTCTTGCAAATTTGTTAACCTTTTCTCAATTGATAGACACAATCCTCCACCCAAAACAGTTAACACAGATGTCATTGTAGCAGTCCAAACCCCACTCTTATAGCTATAGTAATGAAACAGAGATCACTTATTTCTGAGTATTAGAAACAACCGAGATCAGTATAAAATCACTGAAGCACCTGTTTGACACTCCTTCAATTAACAATCAGTCTGCAGGTCTTAAAATGTGTCATATCTGTGTTGTTCTTCACCAGCATGGATGGAGGAGGTTTAAGGGAAATGAGTAATAGTAATAGGTAGATGGGAAGAGGAGTCCATGTGCGGGATTTAGGTGTAGTTGGAAGGGCTCAAGTTTCAGATGAAACTGTTATTGATCAAGTTATCAATCATTGGCCTTTCACTTAGAGGGGCTGAACAAACTGTACAACCTGTTCTAAACAGAAACACTTTTGCATCCATTAGAGAACAGGTAATGTTGCTGTACAGTATATACAGAAATATCTTCAGTGATATGCTTTATGTAATTGTTTTCCAAATTCCAAATTCACATTAAAAGTACTCTTTATAGAATAGAGGTGGTAGAGGGGAATTTTCAGTGCTGAACAGGAGGCTGCATAGTAATTACATAAATTGCAAAAAAGTGCAATAGACTACAAAAAAATTAAATCTATGAAGTGTCTTCATAGTTTTATTTTTGAAATACACCAATTTTTATATACTGCAGGAAAAACGAAAATAAATATTATAATGCAAATTTGCAAAAAAGCAGC